TTTTTTTTTTTTTTTTTTTTTTTTTTTTTTAAACGTGGTAACTGCAAAAATGTTATTTTTAAGTTATTATTTAATTTCAATTATGAAATAATAGATATTGAATTATTGGTTTTCATTACTAAATAACCTATAACTATCGAAAATTTCTATGAATATAACGTATCTACATTATTAATTAAAAAAATAATTAAAATAAAAAAAATATATTTAATAGAATCCCTTTATAATGTAATTAAGATGAAAAAATATCATTCATAGTCGTTCAATCGATAATAATTATTATAATTATATTAGACAGTTTTTTGACTCTCTTGAATATTATAAAAACGTTGATATGGTTTATTACAGTTTACCGACGAATAGTAATAATTTTATAAATAATATTCAAATGACGCAAAACATAAAAAAAATCATAATAAAATTAAAGCAATTTTATTTAATATAAAACATGATTCCATTGAAAATGGTTTTTGTGTATTTATTTTAAAAATAAGTTTAAATGTATTTAAGCTGTATAAATAAGATGTTTATGGAGTAATTCAACGACTTAATCTTAAAAAATAATTTAATATATTATACATAAGAATTTATTGCAGAATTATTGGTAACTACACATTTTATCATATAAAATATGTCATAATATTGAAAATTTTATAAAACTAAAAAAAACTTTAAAAAGATCTAGTGACTGCACCAGGTTTTTTAAAAGTTTTTTTAAACTAAAAGTCAATAATAGTATTTTACACATTATTACTAAAATAAAAAAATTCTAAAACTCATAAATTTTATTTTCTCACGAATTTTTAACATCCAATTTACTTATATTTTATGTAATATGTATAAATGAAAACAAAATCTTCTTGAGACTTATCAGAAAGTACTTAATAGTTAATTAATTACTTAATTTTTTATTATAAAAAATAATAAAATTTCTTATTTTTAGACCAATTAGAANATCAGAAAGTACTTAATAGTTAATTAATAACTTAATTTTTTATTATAAAAAATAATAAAATTTCTTATTTTTAGACCAATTAGAAAATGAAGATCAAAATTGTATTATTTTGTATGGTTATTGTAAGTTATACAATATCCCAAATAATATTAAAACATATTTTTTTTAAATAAAATTGTTTTAAATTACCAATATTGTAAATCAATTTAAAACCATTGAAGATGTTTTAGACTGCTTTTTATTTGTGTTTACTAGTAAACCATAGTAGAAAAAATATAATAATTGTAAATTCACATAACTTTTGATCCAATAATTATTTCGCTGTAATTATTTTTGAACAGTTTTTTTATTATTAGACTGTGTTAATAGCATTTTTATTTGTCAATATTACAATATTTTTGTATATTGACAATATTTATAATACCTTTAATAATAAAAAAAAAAACTATTAAATTTCCAAAATTTTAAAATATTATTTTTTAGCAGTTTCTTTTTTATATTTTAAAAATAACTCTTTGGAGATGAAAATATTTAATTGACCTTCTCCTTCAAATTAAACTGACCACTCTACGCCTATGAGTGTTAGAAAAATTCATTTTCAAACGAAACTCGTTCTTCGTTTTAAGATGTTACGTTTTTAGTGTAATAATTTATAAAAGTATCAAAACAGCAAATTAAAATTATAAAATGTTGATAAAATAATGTATAAAGATATATAATGAAGGTGGTTAGATTTCATTACAAAACATATTATTACTAGTCAACGTAAAAGTATTTTTCTTTTTATAACACCTAGAAACAAATAAAAACATTTAGAACACAAAAATTAAAAAGAACTAAATAATATACAATGTACAATATATAATTTAAAATACGATTCATTTCTTTTTCCAGTTCAATTAATGCATTTAAGTATTGAAAGTTTTCTATGTCATAATTCAACCGGCTTAATTTTTATTAAAAAAATAATTAATAGACATTTTCTAGCTACAAAAATAACATTTTACGAATCTGTTGTTTTTGGAACGAATTCCTTCCCAACATTAGTTACAAGCAATTCAATACATATAATAATTATGGTTTGGTTGATTGTGTTTATAAATGCAACCTAACTAAACCAAACCAAACCATACACAAGGATGAATACAGCGCGTGTATGTCCATTTCATCAATGATATACACTCACTCAATTAATACATTTTTATCGATCAATCTTGATTTTTTGTATAAAAGTGCAATTTTTAAAATAATAGTAATCCGGTCTCTAATTATAAGCGTTCTAATTAGATAGCAAAAATTTAGCAACTTTTAAAATTGAACATTTTACACAATAAATATTACTTAAAATAATAAATTATTAGCTTTTTAATCTATCTTTTATCATACTGTAATACTTTTGATGTTAAACTAAATCATTTTGTTTCAGACATTTTCTGCATTATTGGTCATTGCTATACCTTCATAAAATAATTTAAAAAAGCTAAAATTTTTAGTTTCTAATAAAAATTAAACTGGTTGAATTTATATTTGTAAACAATTTAATAAATAAACCAATTACATAGAATTAAAAATTAAGTATATTCGTAAAAATATTCATAATACATTTAGCTTTCTTTAAAATCGAACAGTTTGCACACAAATAATAGCCACCTAGCTATCATGATCTAAAATATTAGTGTGCTAAAATTTTTGAAATAACAGCTTTGCTACAATTAAAATATTAAAAAGCTTTTTTTTTTTTAAGATGCCTATACTAGCTAATGAAGATCGAGAAAAGATGTCGTTGCGTAATACAACCTACGCAGTCCAACGAATAGCTTTCTGTCTACAAGAAAAAGGTTTAACTCGTTTTATTGAAAAAAAGAATATTGGTAATTTTGCTCCAGAACTATTTGTATCGTATAAATCATTACAATATAAATCATAGTAATAATTATTATTATGACTTACAAAATCTATAGAATTTAGAAAATACTTTTGTGGATGTATGGGGTGCATATTTAAAATACATTATAAAATATAAAAGAGATTAAGTACAAATATGTCAATGTATTATTGATATCAAAGTTCATACATACCCCACTTAAAATATCGGTTTTGAAAGGGCTCAGCCCTATTGTTCATAAAATACTCAGCAAAATAGTCTCTTACTTCAATCCCTTGTTGACGAGATCCAGTTCCCCCACTAACCTAATAATCCTCCAAAAAATTAGATAACGTATCCTCAAAATTGTAGCCGTCTCTTCTGCGTACATAGTTAGTAGTATATAACAGGCTTTAACTATTTCATCGATGAAATCTGGCTCAACTAAAATCGTTGTGTGCAAAATTCTCCATTTGTTAGCAAGGATTCCAAAAGCACATTCTACTAATCTTCTAGCTCTTGACAATCTATAATTAAATATTCTTCTTTTTTGAGTGAGGTTTCGTCCTGGAAATTGTCTCAATAAATTTTGGTGTAATCCAAAAGCTTCGTCGGCCACTAAAACAAATGGTTGCGGTGAGCTAGTTGTGTTTGGCAAACAAGTAGGCGCAGGAAGATTTAGCTGGTTTGAATAAAGTTTTCTGCCAAATGGACAGTCCTTAAAGACAGTCGAGTCACCTTCTCTACCATAAGCACCTACGTCGATAGCGATAAAACAATATTCGGAATCTACTACGCATATTAATAACATAGAAAAATACTTTTTGTAGTTAAAAAAAAAAGAGCCTGCTTCATGAGGGTTTTGGCAACGAATATGTTTTTCGTCTACAGCTCCTATGCAATTGGGAAAATTAGTTTTTTTATAATACTGATTAGCAACATCCATCTATTTTTCAAGATCAGGTAAAAGCATTTCTTCAGGCTGTAAAATGGTCCACAAAAATTGACAAGTTTCTCGTATAATTAAAGATATTGTACTTCTTCCCAATAAAAATTCAAATTGTAAAGCTACAAAGTTTGATCCCGTAGATAAAAATCTGAAAATGTTTTATGATTCTTAAATTTCAGCTTCAATGATCATTGAGAAGGTTTAATTTTACTATGATGTGTTTTTTTTGTGTCTGTCATTCATTTTTCTGAGCTCTCACTTGACCAATACGTTAAAAGAACACGATTTTAATTTTGTTGAACTTATAATCACCAAATATTGGAAAAACCCTTTTGTTTTAAAAATTCAGACAAATATCTCAAAATTACGCTACTGTAATAAATGGCCACTTCAAAAATACTTTTTAATTAAACATTTCCAAAGTAATAGGAGTATAAAATTCGTTTTTATGCAGAATACACAGTAAAATAAAATATTTTTTAATGACCATAGACTAATAAATACTTCACTAAACCAAATTTTCATATATATATATATATATATATATACATGTTGAGGTATTTATAACAATTAAAAATTTATCCTCATAAAAGTAACTTTAGTTAAATTTTTATAAAAGTTAAGGTTGGGTTATTTACCCTTCATTGGCTATAACCCTGATAGAGTTATGTTCATAACCATGAAAAACTTTCATTATAAGGAGAGTTTTTTAGATAGCAGTGTCCATCCCATAAGTATATGAAAGGAAAACTTTGGGAAATTATGCTTCAAAAAAATTATTCCGGCCACTTATGACCTTTAATATAAGTATAATACAATTTGAATGTGTCAATTGATTCACTGAAGTATCTATCAAATTTTCATTACCACAATTCCCTAACACCGATAGTTAATTACAATTATTATTGATATAAATAAAAAAATTAAATGTTAATTTCACTACTGACCTTAAAGTAAGTGTTAATCTTTCTTCAGAACAAATTGGCTCTCGAAATCTAGTGGTTTTTTTCGTTATCGATGGTTTTAATTTTTGAAGTAATTCATCGAATGATTTTATACTCATACGATAGTATTAAAAAAATTTGTCTTCATACATTCTAATATTTTGCTAAAATTCTATAAATCTTTTATGTTATTCCCTATTGGAATTATAAGGATGAATCCAATACTTCCGTTTTTCTTTAGGGGAACTTAACAGATCAAATGCTTCAGCAGCAGCTATTACGCGAGTAGTGTTAGTAAAATTATCAAAGTTCATTCTGAGTAAAAGAAGAAGTTTAGTTTAATGAATGTTTTTCCTGTATCTATTCACACAAAGACTATATGACCCGTGGACGTTAAAAATTAAGCGGTAGTAACTTTTAAAATGATTACTAATTGTTTCATATTAATATTTTGAGACAACAAAAATAAAAAAAATTAATTTTTAGGTATAGGAGGCGGCCAAGTTTTATAGTCTTAGATGACAAAAATTATATTTATGTAAAGAGTTACACTACTAAACAAAGTTATTTATTAAATATATAAACTTACCTAATATTATAAGTTTATTTGAACAATTAATGAACAAATTTCACTTGTAGTTTTAACTTTTAATGTAGAAAATTATAAATTGAATACTTGTATTAAATAAAATGAAGAGCTCTATACAGCGTAGTAGAAGACATTTGAATGAATAAAATATAAACTATTGAATTATAAACAAAAAACGCGGCAAAACCGTTCAATGTGGCACGTGGTGATATAACCGTACGGTTACGACCGTACGGCGCAACCGTCCTAATGTGTCGGGGCCCTAAGGCACATTGCTGCGAATCGATAAAAAACTGTCAATACAGAAAACATATCTATTGATAGTAATAATAGACAATAAACAATCCGTGTCTGTGCTAGCGACGTCATAAAAAAAAATTAGCTACCTGTCTTTGTAATCCCTTGTGAATTATACTTGTATCTAATAAACTAATAAAGTTATATTATAAATTCAAATGCCATTTACTATTAAATTAAAAATCTAAAATTTTATTAAATTAAAAATACGTGTTCCATATTTGAAAAAAAAATTGTCACTCTTACAAGGCATAAGGGATGAACCTAAAAAGTATTATTAATAATAATTCAATAATAATTTGTAACAATAGATAACCAAAAAAATAAAACATTTAAATTATTTCTATTCTATTAGTAATTGAGTGGGTTACGATAAAAAAATGATCCTGTAGACATTTCATTTCAATAATATCTCATAATTATTAAATATATTTGAATTAAAAAAATTATATTTATAAATAATTATAATACTACATAATAAGTATAATGTATTATGTGCTGTTGACGTTTTTTCTTATAGTTATTCTACCGTGTATTGTATAGAAAAACGTTTTATTTTTTTTTAATTAGGAAAAAAACGTTTTTTTCATGTTTAACAAACAACGTAAGTGTGGTGGCTTAAAACGTTCAATTTTAGATACTTCAGTGCCTATGTTTGTTAAATTGTATTTTTTGGGTAGAGTGTGGCACTCGTGTATGACTAGTTCGAACGTGTTCATGTCACGTCCGGCCGTCGTTCCTTCCTCAGCGAGCGTCATAAGCTTTTTTGTACGTTTACAGTACACTCGTTTCGCGCCTCTAAGATTTGATAGTCGTTCCTCAACAAGTACATAGTGTTTTTCATGTCTCGTATAAACAGCAAACTCCTCCGCGTGTTTGTGCTATTGATCGGCCATGTTCGCCATATTTTTATTGTTTTGCTCATTCGGTTGCGTCTTTGCCGAACTTGTAAACTCCTGACGTACGAGGTATTTGTGTACAGACTTTGTACCTTTATGTGAAACGACGTTTCTCGCATATTACCGACTAGTGGCATTGTTCACGTCGTTATCATTTCAACGCTCACATACAGTCCACACTCACCGCCATTAATCATAATCTTGAATTATACAGCTAAGTATTTAATTGTTTGTTTTATTTATTTCATATATTTTCTATTTTGTTTATAGACGCTTTGTCGGTCATTCTAGTATGTAAGTTACCTCCCCCCTCCATTTTCCCTTTAAGACTTTTATTTGCAGAACTGTAAATATATATTCATATTTTCTATATACATAAACAGGTGTACCTATTTTCTTACTCCCTTATATTTTCTGTATTTTGTTTTCTACAAATAGACAACACCACCGCACAGTAACAGGCAATCCCCCTTCAATATTAAGGGACTGCTTGTCACAATATTGTGAATAAGTAATTGGTACAAGAAATCATCATGGACGGAGTGAAAGGTTTAGGAGACTTAACCCCAGTTTACAATTAAGTCCCCTCAGAATATTAATGATTATGTACATTGTTATATATATTTTATTTTTTATTGCACCACATCATTTATTTCTTAATATATTTAATTTTAGAACTAAAGATAATTTTTATATAGAAAGAAAAATCTTTTTTTTTTTATATATATAAAGGTTTTGGATCCATAAGTTCATTATTTCGACAGAAGCTTACAGATGTGAGAATTTTATTAGTCAAAGGAGAACTAGATCATAATGAAATATTTAAAATAATTCAAAATTATATTTGCAGTCAACTAAATCGAATTACTGAATTAATTGCACATGGTCACGAAGTTGGATGTCATGCTGAAGTGAAAGAATGTTGTGAAGTATACAATAAATATTTATTCCAACCTAGAACTTCTGTAAGCTGTATTTTCAAAGATAGTATATTCTCTGTGGATATTTTTGTATTATAAAATGATAGAAAGCCCACTATTTGATACTTGTAATTCTGTTACATAAATTAATTAACTAATTCTAGCACTTTATAAGAATTTTTAGTTGATAGATAGCTATAATAGTTTAAATAGCTTATAAAAATTATTTTAACATAATACAGACATTAAAACATATAACGTATAGATATTAGAATACTTAAGGTATTCATCTCATATTAAAATATTCTTAAGAAAAATAACACATTACGTTACTATAATTTTTGACATTTAAAATAGTTCGAAAAGCTAATACGTAACTCATTTAAAAGTAGTCTTTATAATTATTTTTATTTTGGTTTTATAATTTTTAAACAAAGAAATCTTGTAAGACTCCTTTGTTTTTTACCAATAAATTAAAAAGTAATGCAATATATCACTGCAGCTAAATATCAAATCATAGAAGAGGCACTAAATTTTATCAAAAATATCAATACAGCTTATAAGTATTAAAGATATTTATATCTTTAATGACTTTGGTATATAAAATGATTTTACATATTAAACCATTGTCGTCGAGAGATCTCTTTTATTTCTTTTACATATTAATCCAACAGTGCTACGATTACCAATTTTTATTTTGGTAAAAAAAAATGGTTCTTATGTGCAGTCTTAATCACCATACTTGCCATATTTTAATCCTACTGGCTACTTTTTGTTCTCAATATTAAATATTGTCTTGAAAATAAACAATTTTGATAGATAAAATACAACAGTATTTTAAATACAAATGTTTGAAAGTTATAAAATAGTTTAAAGATCGTATCAATGTAGATAATACTTCTAATAAAAATGATTTCAAGTAAAAAATTTCAATTGAATAAATTTAATAATATGAAAAAAAATATTGGGGCTACCATTTAAAAATCGAAATTTGATACAAGTTTAAGATTTAAGCAATAGTATCATAAAATTAAATTTTTGTGTAAAGAATCTCAACTGAAAATATTTATTGTTAAAATTAATAGAATTTTGATTAGCTTTAATATTTTCAAAAATGCTTTTTGAGACATAGTCAAGGAGCCATACTATATTGATTATAATAGCACATTCACTTTAGGAGTGATATTAAACTATATATTGCTAGTGAAGGAATCAATGGATAAAAGATTCAACTGATATTTTTGAAATGATTTAGGAATACTACTTTTTAACAAAATATTAAAATGCTATGGGACTATTTTGGTATTCAACATATGAAATAACTTATAAGAGGGAAAAGATCGCTCTAGGGATGTTCTATAATTCACTATAACTTGATAATGATACTTCCACCGAGTTGCTAAGAAATGTCAGTTAACATTTTTATCCATGATCTCTACAATTAGTAACATTTAAAATTAATACTTCTCTTTTAAAAAATATAGATGAATAGGTGTTTGTTTCTTCCCTCATTTTCAATCTGTATTGTTGGTAATTTCTTATTTATTTAAGTTATCACTAATTCTTCCCGTTTATGTCCTCATATGGTTGAGAGTTTACCGAGTTTTCCAAGGTATATACTAGTAGTAAGGTTGTAATGGTTAAATGAGTTTCAATCAGTCAATGAGCCCGTACCCTCTTGTTTTCTTCTTTCATGTTTATTTCGGCTTGTTATGGGCTATTCCCTTAGTGGCAATGCTATTTTCATAAAGTATTTTCTTGATTTTGCCCTCCTAAGTTTTGTATTTCTGAGATTATCATGATTTG